GATTTTAAAACTTGGAGCCCAAAGCATTACAAAAAATCATGGATACTTTGAACACCAAAGGTAAAAATACCCCAAAAGAAAGGTTCACTTTTCAATTGATAACCTGTTTCATATTGTATATGAGCATGATAAAAACCAATAATAATGGTTTTCTCTCTCATACTTTTTTTATGTCCAAATACAGTTACTGTACCACAGGTGGATAGTTTTATAGGAGCTTATCTAAGTGGCAAAGTTACACTAAAAAGGCAAAGAAGGAAGACCTTAACAAATTAAAAGAATTCATTTCTAAAATATCATTGAGTTTTATAATGAGTTGTACTCATAGGCAACTAATGAATGTGAGAATCTCACTGATAGTAACTTTGAGGAAGAAGTAAAATAAAATCGTAAGACTTAATGCTTACAGATTATTATTTATGCTATTTTAGTTATTAACTTGTATTATATTTATTACTGGTACATTAAAACATTTTTTTAAAGCATATAATTGTAGTTCTTAAACAGTTTTAATGTGTTTTCCTTCCCAAAATAATCAATTTTTTTTAACAGGGCAAATTTTTCGAAAATTTCCAAAATTTCTTTTCTGCACAATATAATTTAAAGAATTTAGAAATAAGACTAATTTTTCCACTTATTAATAAAAACCATGTTTTTTTTTTAACATGTTTCCACTATTTTTTAGCCATCTTCAGTTGGGTTGAAAAAAACTTATTTAATTTTATATACAAATATTAGGTAATAAAATATATGTATATATATATAATAATAAATAAATAAAAATAATAATAAATAATAATAATAATATAATATAATATAATAATAATAATATAATAATATAATAAAATAATAATAATAATAAAAATAATAATAATAAATAAATAAAAGGTAATAATATATAGATTACAATTTTTTTATTTAAGCATTCTTTTATTTTTTATTAATTGCGACAAAATAGTCAAAAGTAAACAAATACAATAAAACAGTTATTAAATTATTTAACAAAAGGTTAATAAAATGGTAACTTTTATGTGAAAAGTGATGTTTTATAGTGGTTTAACTGTTTGTTCACAACTTGATTTTTCCTATACAATGAACAAACTTTCTTAAATCTTACGCTCAAATTTATTGGAGACAGAATCCAATATTGAGAAACAGTCATCATTATAATTATTAAAACAATTATTGGAGAGAGAAAATGGTTAGCACAATAAAGAGAAGCATCCTTAGCAGATGCAAATTAAGCATTTGATTGTATATATAGTTTCCATGAAAGGTTACTAATTAACGATAATCCAAGAAGATGTAAAGAAGATGAGTCAGTAAGAGGACTGCCATTCATTAATATAGGAATGTCGACTGTATTTCAAAAAATGTTTGCAGTAAATAACTGAATTTTGATAGAGTTAAAGTTTTATACCCACTGTGAGCCCAAATCTGATACAGAAGTGAGATCAGATTCAAGATTGGCTGTCTGCTTTCAGGAATCAAAAAGTGAAGACATTTTGTCAAGACACCAGTATAAAGCTGAGTCATCTGAAAAAAACTACTTTACTACTATTGAAAAAAAAATTTAACTATTTACTATATTTTAACTACAATTTCAGATGTAAGTTTGTCTGGAACAGCGTTAATATAGATAAGAAACAAAACAGAACCAAAGTTAGAACTTTGAGGTACCCTTGAAGTTACTGAAAATGAAGAAGAGAGTTGGCCTTTGAGGATGACTTTAATAAAGCGGTTAGAAAGAAATGATTTGACAATCTCAAAGACTTTCTCAGATATACAACATGAAGCAAGGTTATAGAGAAGAACAGCATGCCAAACTTTGTCAAAAGCTTTAGGTATGTCAAGAGCAATAGCCCTAGCCTCACCGCCTCTATCTAATGCGCAATAAAATCTTTCAGTCACAGCAGAAAGATTTTATTGAGAAACTTGTTGATCAAAGACTCAAAGACCTTGCCAATAACAAAAAGAAGGCTGATCAGACAATAATTGGAGGGGTTTTAGAAATTCTCCGCAGTTTTAGAAATTTGGAACAACAGATGCCATTGTCCAGCAGGAAAACAAGACTCAGTCAAACACTTATTAAAAAGTTTAAAGAGAATTGAAGAGAGTTCTGGTTTCAACGGAAACTAGAGTACAATCTGAATGTCTAACAGAGGGTTAACCTGTTTAATTAGCATGGAAGGAAGAGAATGGCCATAAGATTCCAGAATCGAATTAGAAGAAAAGTTCTTTGCAAAAGATTTTGCCTTATCCTTGGGAGAAAAAGCATCAGTCCCAAGAAGGAGAAATGGAATGTTAGATCTATCTTTGTTTACAATGCTGTTGTAAACAATAGTAGGTCTAACATTCCATGTTCTGAGATAAGATGCATGATTTAGTGAAGAAAAAATAACGAACCTTAGCGTCAGACAGCACCGATCAATATTGAGATCTGAAGAAGAAATAGGGGAATTTAAATTAGTCTCACTAAGCAAGCAAATCTGGTGATTTTCACAAAAAGTAAGACAACTTAAGGAAGGTTGCTTTGCAGATCAAAAATATTTGTAAAAGATATATTAAAACAATAAAATGGTTAGGATTGGGTTTTTTTTGGATTACTTTGGGGATGATTCAAGTTTAAAAAGAACTTGACTCATTCATAGATAGAGCACAGCCTCTAAAGCAATGAGCTATGCACTTGTCTCAGTCCTGTTAAGAAACCCTAGGTTGTAGCCTAGAGCTCTTTATTTTAATTGAGTTCTATCTGTGCCTCAAGTCAAGTTCTTTAACTAATTTAAAAAATATGTCAAAAACTATAAAACACAAAAAATCATTGATATCACCAAGTTCTCTAAATCGATCATTTACAAATATTTTTAGTCTTTAAAATAAATTTTACTTGGTTGAGTTTTTTTGTTTATCTTTTGCAAAGTTCACCAAACCTAATTGCTTTTTGTGAGACTAATTTGAGTTCAGTTGTCTCATTTTGTGAACTTAGTGTTGAAGGTTATCTTCCTTTAATTTATAAAGACATCAATAGCCACATGCTTGGCCTGGGCATTTATATTCATAAGAATTTACCCATTTGTAGGGAAACTAGGTTTGAATCTACAGACTATTATTTTATGTGATTTTATTGAGCACCACCTCACATTATCACCTTTCTCTTTGTTCTATATAGCTCTCCTTCATCTCAAAACTGCACTCTTTTTGAAGTTATTTCTAATCAAATTGAGCATTCCTATTCTCTTTATCCTTCAGTCAATATTGTTGTTGTTGGTGACTTCATGCTAATCACACTGAATAATCACCACACTGAATGGCTTGGTTCTGGTGTCAGTGACTCTGCAGGCATTACGGTTAAACTTGCTTTTCTTAATCTCTAACACAAATAGTCAACTTTTCAACTGACTTTAAAGACAATCCAAATCATTTACCTTCTCTTTTCAACAACTTATTTTGAATCCTTATAAGTGCTCAGTTTCTCCACATTAACCCTTATGTGCTTTTTAATTAAGGTTATCACTCTCTTTTTAATTAAGGTTATCACTCTCAACATTTTTAAAGCTTTTGATAAAGTTTTGCAAGCTAGTTTTCTCCATAAGCTCTTTTCTGATGGTATATCAGGTAATGTTTTTAATATTATTGAATCCTTCCTTACTAATCATTGTATAAAAATTGTCCTTGATGGACAGCACTTTCCTTTATTTCTGGGGTTCTTCAAGGTTCTATTCTTGGCCTTATACTTTTTTAATTTACATTAACAATCTCTCAGAAATTCTCACACCTATGGTGGCATTGTTCGCTGATGATAATACCATTCATTCTTGTCTTGAAAAAAATATCTTACTCTGGATTCTATTTTTTATCTCTACAAATCTCAAATCCGTGTATGGAATATTGTTGCCATATCTGCAGCGGATCTTGGAACAATGCCCTTTCTCTTTTAGACAAGGTGCAAAAACACATAGTAAGCATAGTTAGACCTGCACATGCAACTAATCTTTGGAATTAACTTCTTTAAAATTTGACCCTTCTTGTGTTCCTGATTCATATAAATAGCAATCTTTTTAATCGCCTGTTTATCGTTATCTTGCTTTGTAAACTTTATCTTTTCTTTTCCAGTAACTTTCAACTCTCATAATTTTTAACATCTTAACATCCTTGTTGGAAGTTAAGATGTTAAAAAAAATTAATAATAATTAAAAAAATGTAGCCTCCACAATGAACACATGCAACTAATAAAAAAAATATAAAAAATAATAAAAAACTAATAAAACCAAGAGCATTAACAGGGAAACCATCCATGCGCAACAGGACACTGTTATTACTCTGATATTTAGCAGCTGTTGATGGAATCAGCTCTATGAGAGCTACCACAGAGTTTGAAAAACTTTACTACCTGTCAGCTTAAAAACCATTAAACTGAGTTTTAGAGCTGTACTCTTTTAAGGAGATAACAGGAAGAGTTGCATATCCACTATCAAGGAGGCATAAGCAAAAACCTATGAGAAGAGTCCAGAAGATGCAGAATTTATCATGCTAAACAGGAAACAATGTAACATGAGCTGTCATCTATGCCAGCCTAATAGATAAAGAAAGAGTTCGAGGCTGGTTAGCAGGATTATTCTGCTTACTCCTTGAGTCTTTGCTAGGAGGCCTCCTATTAGATAGCTGGATGCAGTTAACATCAGCCCGAGATGAGTATTTTTATCGACACACCATTAAGAGTGACTTGGTTTTGTAGTTGTTTAATTCATAATCCCCACTCTAATAAATAATGAACAAGCCTCATTTGCATTAAAAAATAATTTATAATGATGCAGATGTACACATCTTTTTTCTTATCGATGGTTTTTTCCTCCATAAAGAAAAAGTTTTGAAAAGAATAATGTAATAATTTAACAAAATTTTAATAATTACAAATAAATTAATATTGTTATGGTCAATATCAAAAATACAAATTAAAAAAAATGACAAATTGATCTACTTTAAAAAACAACTTGACTTACCTTGAATGGTCTTTTTGCATCTGGTTTTTTATATCTTAACCACAAAAGAGCAACTATAGCTAAAGAATAGAATATCCAGGAAACAAAGTTGAAATAGGTCATAAGAGTTGTGAAATTTGTAGATTCTGGAATCATTGAAATCCAAGCCAACACACACTTAGTAAATAGAAAAATATTTACAATACACACTAAAAAGCATAAAAATAAAAAATATGTTATGATTAGTGCTTCCAATACCGGTTGTACCGATACCGGATACCAGTAGTACCGGACTTTTTCAAGTGCCGAAATACCGGTATTGATTTGGCTCAATACCGCTATTAAAAATATATGTAGAGCGTTTGTAATATAGCAGATGGAAAAACCCTCTTTTTGCGAAATACAAAATTAAATGATATATTTAAAACATTCAGTCGCGATAAACAACGCTCCTGGTGGGATAAAGATAGCTAAATGAAAAAAAACGTGTTTAAAATGTGTAAAACACGTATTACTAACTATATTACTTCTTTAACACGTCTTTTATCCATAGGTAGCAACTAGCTAGATATTCACTGGCTAGTCATTAGCTTATTTCCCACCGGGTTTGTTCATCTTGTAATGAGAGTATAAAATCAGGCTCGCTAAAGAGTTTGAAATGGAGAAAATAATAAGTTGTTTGATTGAATTTTTATAAAAAAAATTATTGTTAAAAATATTTAGTTAAAGATAAAACTTGTTTAATTTCAAAGCAAAATTTTGTCTTTCTTCTATTAATAAAGCACTGATTTAAAATATAATCATTACATCACTTGCTTTAATGTAGATCCCATGTTTGAGTTTGGCACTAACGTAAACATGAAATGTTTGAAATCGCTACAGTTAAGAACATTTTTAATTTAGTAAAAATGTTAAGATGATAAATTATTAATTGTTTTTCATGGTGTAACTTATAAATGTAAAGTTATAGAATTAACAGCAATTATAGTTACGCTTACTTAACTTTATGCATTTTGAATTAAGAACTAAAAATCAAGATTTTATGTTAAATAGATAGAATTACCTTAATATCCAGAAAAACATAAAACATCCTAAAAAGTATTCAAACCGTTCAGCACTGTATGAGTTGATGAAAGTTCTGTGTGGTTTTACTTTCTGCTTGATAAAGAAAATTAACTTGCAATGTGTAAGAAGTGCAAAAAAGAGATAAAATCAAATGGTGGAGTACCAGTGTACTGAATACACATCTAAAAACTAAACATGAAATTGACTTGCTGAATAGGAAATTGTCCCATGATGCAGCATCATCATTGGGTTTTTTTTATTGGTACCGTTATTAACGGATAAAAAATCCAAACTTCTAATTACCAATTTCTTATAAAATCAACGCGACACTTCGTTGTTCTCAGTTTTTCTAGATTGAACACCCTTTATGTTGGAAACTTGGATTAGTGAGAGTTGTTGGTTTGTAGCTTGCTTAAAAATGCATTAATTTAGTTCAAAAATTGTTGACACTTTATGTTGAATTGGAATGTAGATTTTCAGCGAGTGGCAACATTATCACAAAATTTGATCATCTTTTGAGGATGATATTCTAAACGTCCTATGTTTTTTTTGAGCTCATTTTACAAAGGAGAAAAAAGCAAAAAATGAAAAAGTTAGTTATTTTGATATAAAATAAATAAGCTTTTTGAATCAATGAACTTTTTACTATTAACTTGAAATTTTATTCATATTTTGATAGGGGTCTAAGATGGCATAGCGCCTATAATGGCATACTGGTCATATTTCCATAAAAATTGATATTGGTGAAAAAGTGATTAGACCTACATGACTATACTGACTATACTTTAGTTTTAGTGAAAATGTATTTCTTGTGCACAAATATTGTTTTTATAATCAACAAAAATTGATGTTGGGATGTGCTGTTGTAGTTTTATTCCCTTCATAAATTTAAGATTGTGATTTTACTATTTACTATGCAAAAAAGTAATTTTCATGCATTTTATATCCAAGTTTTGTGCATTTAGTGGAATACTTACTTGAATATTATCTTTTGAACAAGACAGACTCATCTTGTTTTAATAAAAATAATGAATTCTTCCCATGATGGTATATTGACGAGTTAAGGGTGTTGCAATATTGAAGAGTTGAAAAAACTTTTTTTTTAATAAGAAAAACATGTTTTTAAGTAAAGTAAAAAGAAACCGATTGTTCCGAAAATACATAAAATGCAATATATCCTATACGCATGCGCAAAACTTTACAATGCTGCTTCGTACCATGAAATAGTAAATTAGGGTAATTTCTGGCTTTTCTGAGGGAAGACTCTAAGTTTAAGTAAAATCATCAAGTTACCCTTGATCCTAACAAGCCCCATCCAACCCTATGCCATCATAGGTGAAGTGGTTGCCTTTGATGGCATAGTTGTGCTTTTTTTAAAATAAGAATAACTTATAAAAAAAAAAACTGATGAAAACTCCGAAGATTATTATTGTTCTACATGTAACAAGGAATGTATCCAAAACTTTTATCATAGGTCTTCAGGATACTGAATAATGAAGCTTCAAAGTTAAGTATGCCATCATAGGCGCCTTTCCCCTAATTTGAAAAAAAGTTTAATACCGGTATAATACCGGTATTACTGGTATTGAAATTATTAAGTACCAAAACACCGGTATTGAAAAATGGTATCGGTATTGGAAGCACTAGTTATGATTAACTAAAATAAAAAAATCTTAAGTAGGCAATCAAATTATTTATGGAACAACTTAATTTTCAGTGAATTTTACCTAACTTTAAATGTGCAACACTTTATGCACATATGTTTGAGCAATATATTATTTAGATTATATTTTTATCAAATTAAACAACACACAAGAAAGAAAAAGTTTTTATTTAAAATTTTGCAATAGTCCTTTTTACATATTTTTTATTCTATCTTTTTATTTTGAAATGTCCTTTTTGCTGTTTTCAGTTTAACTATTGTATTTAGAGTTTTAATATGCTTGATCTTAATTTTTTTCATTTCTTTGTTAAAATCAATTTTTTAAATAAATTAAGTTGTTTTTATCTTTTAAACTGCAAAAGTCAACTTTTTTCTTTTTTCTCTTCTCTGCAAAGCTTTTTTAGCATATTTTTGGTTAATCTTAAATAATTCTCCTTAAGGAAATTATTAAAATTAAATCATTTTCTTATATTAAATTACTAATTAAAATTTTTGTTTAATGCTATACTAAATAATTTCCATTTTATATTTTTTTATTTGTTATTTTTTTAATAATTTTAAAACTGCAATTTTTAAAAAAATATTTAATTCTTAAAAAAATTAAGTTTTTTTTGCTTTAATTGCTATTGTCTAAAAAATATTTTCTGTCAATAAAATATTACCTAAACTCTTTATTTTCAAAGGGATCCTCAAATGCCAAGACAAGTTCTGTTCATGTCAAAGAAAATGATAAAAAAAATTTTTTAATTAAAAGTAAATAATGAATTCATAATTTTTTTCAAGATATAAAAGTATTTTATGCCTGACAAAAAAATTCATTTGTATTATTTTTCACTACTCTAAAAAATATTTGTAATACAGTTAAAAATTAAAAATACCTATATTTGGTTCATCAATAGTCAGATTTACTTTTAAATTAATATATCTTTTATAAAAGAAAAAAAAGATTTTATTAAAACATATAAATTTGATGATTTAATTTTTTTAAGATGATAAATTAGCTTAGTGCAATAGATGTTTAATTGTTCTAATTTTTAGGTGCGGCTGTTTATGTTCTGCTCCATTGGAAACTATTTTATTTAACTTTAAATATTCTATTAAAAGTAGTTTTATGTTTTTTAACTAATAATAATGGTTATTTATAGTTACATTACATTATATTGTTGTTAATTAAAGTTTTTTTAGGTGATTGGCCCAAATAATAATTTAGAAGTAAAATACAATTTTGTAACTTTGAAAACTTTAAGTAGATAAAATAAGTAATACAAATTTTACAAAAAAAATTTGATAAAATATTTTCTAAAAATTTCAGTCTAAACATTTTTTTTAAAGATTTATTTAAATATGAACACAAGATGTCTCGGTTTTTCAGGATGCCTTGAAGCAAAGATTATTATGGTCTCAAAACTGTTTTTATTCCACTAAATAAAAACTGTGTTCATTCCACTCAAAACTGTGTCTCAAAATTATGTTCATTCAACTAATCAAAAACATTTAGTTTTTTTGATTACTCAATATAACTTTGGCTTTAATTTAACAAGATTTTAACTTTCAGTTTTGAAAATGTTCACTATATTTATTATAAGAGTTTTAATCGTTATCTTGCTTTATAAATTTTATTTTTTTTCTATTAATAGTTTTTAACTCTAATAGTGGTTGCTTGCAGCTTTGTTGGAAGTGAAGATGTTAAAAAATAAATTTTAAATTAAAAAAAAATGTGGCCTCGACAATGTGCACCAAAAGCATTTACAGGGACACCTTCCATGCCCAACATGGCACTGTTAATACTCTGATATCACATTTGTTTGCCATATCACATTTGACTTGGCAAACAAATGTGATTTGGCAAATTGGTTAAAAGAAAATTTATTGGCTTTCAAAACCAATTCTGGTGAAGCAGATTGACCAGAATTTTTTTTGGGGGGAGGGTTATTGGGTTTTTATACCTACATGTCTGTTCTTGGGTTTATATGCCCTAACACAACATTTGTTTGCATTAAATCTTGGGTTCCTGAGTTTTCAAATTTCAAATTTTTTTCTAAATATTTTTTCTAATGAAGCATTTTTAAAAAAATTTTAAAATATGGTAAATGATTTTAAAAAATTATTTTCCAAAAAGATTTTAGATCTTTTTTTCTGTCAAATTCATAATATAGCATGGTTTTCAAAAGCATTACTTTGGTCAATAAGTTTGAACCCAAAGCATGGAAACTCTGGATTCTTCATGTTGTCAAACATCATTTTTAAAGAACAAAACACAGCAAATGAGAATAGAGACATTATTAATTGCATGAATTCGGAAAAATAAACTAATTATATTTTATTTAAAATCTGGATGTATACTTTAAACCTTGATGAGATAATCTGTTGAATGGAAACACTTAACATATCTTAACTCATCAAGATTGTAATTAATGGTGAAATCGATATCATCTCAATAAGTTTGGAACTGATGGTAAAATATTTTTGAAATGAATCTTGATGTTATTAATCCATCAAAAGAGATAAAGTATTCACCCCTTATTAGAAAATCCTAAAACTACTCAAAATGTCAACATTTTGAGATCTTTGAGTCAAGGACCAGTTAAATATTGTAATTACAGTAGAAGCTCCAGAATTCTAAAAAACATGAAATTGTTGCTGAACCCAATCAACATGAACAATATTAAACAGGTCTTGGTACAACATTTACATAACGGAAACACTAAATGCATGTAAATGTAACTTAACTCAACTTTGATATTTATATCGTTAAAACTGCAATATTGTGTGCAATAAATTGCATCATTAAAGTACTTTCTGATCATCAATATAGATTTCGATCTGCTTGTTCTACGGCTGATTTGCTAACAGTAATAACCGATAGGTTATATCGTGCATTAGATAAAGGTGGAGAGGTTAAGGTCATTGCTCTTGACATCTCTAGAGCATTTGATAAAATTTGGTATGCTGGTCTTCTCCATAAGCTTTCTTCTTATGGTGTATCTGGAAACATCTTTAAGATTATTGAATTTTTTCTATCCAATCGTAGTATAAAAGTTGTCCTTGATGGACAGCACTCTTTTTCTTATTCTGTAACCTCAGGGGTTCCTCAAGGTTCAATCCTTGGCCCTATACTCTTTTTAATTTACATTAACAATTTTCCTGATATTCTCACATTAAAGGTGGAATTGTTCGCTGATGATACTACCATTTATTCTTGTCACGATAAGAAGCCAACTCACTCTGATTGCTTGCAGGGGGCATTTGAGCTTGAAAAGGATCTCACTTGCTTGTTCATCAGCCACTGTAAGCTTGGGGCTTACAGTGGCTGATGAACTTTAATTCAGATAAAACTCTATTTTTTTCAGCCAATCGTTATCGCAATAACTTAGACCTTCCTATATTTATGAACGGTAATGTACTCAATGAGTCATCTACCCTTCATCTTCTAGGATTAACTCTCATTTCTGATCTTTCTTGGAAACCTTATATCAAATCTGTTGCAAAATTAGTATCTTCTAAAGTTGCATCTCTTTATCGAGCTCGACACTTTCTTACTCTGGATTCTATTCTCTATCTCTATAAATCTCAAATCCGACCTTGTATGGAATACTGTTGCCATATCTGGGGTGGATCTTGTAATGATGCCCTTTCTCTTTAAGACAAGGTGCAAAAATGCATTGTAAACATAGTTGGACCTGCTCTTGCAGCCAACCTTCAACCTCTGTCACATCGTCGTAATGTTGCTTCTCTTTCTCTTTTCTACAAATACTATTATGGGCACAGCTCTAAAGAGCTAGCGCCTCTTGTGCCATCTACTAAAATTTATTCTTGTGTTACTCATCATTCAAGTCTCATTCTTTTTCTGTTACTGTTCCTAAGTTCTCCGAAAACTCTTATTCGTCTAGTTTTTTTCTTTGAACATCAGTTCTTTGGAATTCGCTTCCTTCATCTTGCTTTCCTGATTCATAAAATTTGTAATCTTTCAAGTCATTTGTCAATCGTTATCTTGCTCTACAACCTTTATCTTTTCTCTTCCAACACTAATTAGTGGTTGCTTGCAGCCTTGTTAGAAGCGAAGATGTTAAAAAAAAAAATTTAAAGTTACTGCTTTATATTCAAGTAAATATATAATTAAAGCGAGGCTGCTCTATTCAAAAGCTGACAAACAATCCGGTATAACAGTAAAATTATTTTTATAGATTAAAAAACAGGTATTGTATGACAAGCATAAGGTTGTATTTCACAAATTTGGATTCCTGTTACAATTTAACTAATGCAATTGTTGTTGTATATGCATAAGGAACAAATATTTCATAAGTTTAAATACTTTACTTAATAAAAATTATGCTTATAAAAAGGCTCAAACAATTTTCATTTTAATAATAAAAACAACCAAAAAACTGTTTAATTGTTTTTTTGTTAAGTTTTATATCAATAATACAATTAATAAAAAAAAAAACAATTGAACAACAAAAATATATAAAACAAATAAAATGCATACTATTTATGAATGCTAGGGTTGAAAATTTCCTGGGAATTTTCAACTCAAGAAAATTTCCAGAAAATTTTAAAAAAAGATAAGTTATTTTATAAAACTTATCTTTTATAAATTTTGTCTTATTAAGGCAGTTTTTATGAACAATTTTATGGTAAAATATTGTGAAGTAAATTATAAAATTTTTCAGAAAGTCCCCTTTGAAAAACATTTTTTTTGGTATTTTGTTGAGTTTATTTACTAAAACTTGAAGTAGCAACAATAATTATTTGTTTTCAAAATTTTCTAAAATTATTTTATTCTGTTATTTGCTAAGCATATTGATGTTTATTGCTGTAGCAAGCTTTGTTAAAGGCTAAACATAATTAGCACCCCCAATCCTAAAGGGAATGGGCATTTGTCAATATCTATTAAATTGGCCTACAAGTTACTGAAAACTGTAAAACTATATAAAAAAAGATTTGATTGAATACTTACAGTATTTTACAATTTCTTCTTGGTTTAAAGACGTTATTGTTTAATGAAAAGCAAAAAAAAGAAAATTTTTTTGCTAAATTTGAACTATTATTATTAGTAATAAAAATAAAAAATAATGATTTTGAGGTCATAAATTCCACCACTGTTTAAATACATACTTTTAAGACTTAAGTCTCACTCGCCACAACCTTGCTGGGGCACTTTTGACTTATTAAATCAATAAATTGGGGTATAAATTAATAAAGTGAGGGGTGGTTGAGGGGAGTGAATCTGTAAAAAGTACCGTTTCTAAAAAATAATAAAAATAAAAGTCCTTAAAAACTAAAATTCACCTGACTGGATTATGTCAAATACCAGACTAGTTGACTAAATTTGTCAAAAAACCATCCATAACTTAAAAATCACCTTTTTTGTGAGGGTAGAACACCCCCTTCCTTTATGCACCCTCCCCCTAAAATCCTCTTTGAATGCAATCTTTACACATAAAAAAATTTAAAAACACTTTACAAAAATAACACACAACAAAACTTGGTAATCTAAAAAATAACTTATTCTTTGTATTTTGATAATATTTTACATTGTAGTTGTTAGAAGTAAAAGCTAGAAATATGTTATACACACGCTCAAAAGACAAGCTAACTTGGAAAACATCTACTTTTTGTTGTTTTACAAAAGTAATTAAACATATAAAAACTTCAGCATTTTATTGCTTTTTTAAAAAAATGTGTGATTCTTTAATTGACTACAAAAATTTGACTAAAAGATGTGCATTTATCGCTTGTGGTTCTTAATTATTTCATATTTTTTGTTGAAATATTTAAAGAATACCCAAATACTACAATAATAAATGCATATTTTTGAAAAAAAGAAATTATTTTTATAAGATTAATAAATATAAGTTTATTAGAATAAAATATTTTTGAAAATTTCTAGAATTTTGAGTAAAATTTCCCTGAAATTTTCTACCCTATTGAATGTTAAACTGAAACTTACTGTTAATACAAGAGCTGGTATAGGTGTTTGTTGCTCACAGTGAACCATAGCTATTACTTTGGGTAAATGGTTTTTTCTAGCAGCAACAAGTAATAATCTAATAATTAAAAATAAAAAATAAAAAAGAACTTTTGTTAAAAATAAAATATATAAATTAATAAAACACATTCACTTACAGGTAATTAAAAAAGTATAAGAAAAAAAAAATCACTTTTTAAATTTCCACGTTGGATTATAGGTTTACAGGTTTTTTGAAGGATAATAAAAAATAAACACCCAAAAATAAAATAATTTTACAAAATAACCAATTAAGTGACATTAAATTTAAAAATTTATAAATAAAAATAAAAAAATTTAAATATATATAAATTTCATGCATTAACTATCCACCATGTGCAACCACCTGTATTTTAAAAACCAAAGCTTTATGTAAGATAATTTATAGGATTATGTCAACATGCAATTTTACATGTATAATGGCAAGTGACTTTAATCTATGATTTATACTGGTCAATAAGTTTAAGAGATTCTTCTCATGATCTGTTTGTAGATATGTGCTATTCAAATGTCTTAATTCAGCATGTATCTGATAATACACAACATAACAACCTTTTAGTTCTAATACTAACCAACATTTATATAAATGAGTTTAATGTATTCACAATCAACTGTGATCACTATATGATTCTTTTCTTTTGTAATTACAAATTCAGTAAAAGACCAACCAAATATAATTTTTACAAAGCTGATTACAACTCAATACACACAGCCTTACTTAATGTAATTTAGTATATACTAGCCAAACAAAATCAAGATGTTGATTTATTCTGGTAAACCATATGTAATTATTTCATTACATGTACTACATTCAGGTACATTGCAATAGAAAAACAGTATCCAACCACTAGCCATTCAAAAAGTAGCTCCAAATTTACAAAAGTATTAGCTTCCAAAGGTTAAAAAAAAATTAATTATTGAGGCATCTATCTATGTCAAACACAATACTGATTCTTGTTTATATGGTGCAGAAACAAATAAATATTGTATTCTTAGAGAGAATTACTTAGTTGAAAACTAATATTGGCCAGTTTTATACCTTCTTAAAAGCAAAATCCAAATGCTGTAGTTTGTTCTGTAGTACCGCTACTCCAACCTGATGGTTCTTTTAATATTAATGAGAGTGAAAAATTACACATTCTGAATAATTTTTTTATCTCTGATTTTGTTTCAGATAATGATATTGCACCTCTGTTAGAGTAGCAGGACACACTTAAATCCTCTTAAAAATTTAATGTTTTCTTCAAATTCTGTTGTATCAACTCTAACAAAGCCTCCATCAAAATCTTCCAAATCACCTAATGGATACCCAGCAATATTTTTGAAATCAATCACAAATGCAGTTGCTATTGCTATTTCCATTCTGTTTGAATTATCAATGTCAAAAAATGTCATAACTACTATCTGGAAAACTGCTATAGTATGCTCTATCTTTAAGAACAAAAACCCATATTTAACCACAAACTACAAAAGCCTATTTCTATGATGTGTATTGTTTGTAAAGTTATGGATTCAACGATTGTGGAGTGCCTTACAAATTACTAATTCAAAATTTATTTATGTTCATCAATGTGGCTTTTTAAGGTGTAGATCCACCTGTACCCAGATGCTGATAACCTAAACAAGTTGACCACTGCTGCTAATAACAAAAAAAATTGTTAATATTGCATATATAGACTTAGAGAAAGCCTTTGATTCTATAAGTCACTCTAAGTTACTGTCAAAACTGCATTTCTATGGTATTAATTACAAATTTCTAAACCAAAATAATGTGTTGGTGTCGGTAAATCATATTCAAACAACATTCTTGTAAAGAGTGGAATACCTCAAGAGACTGTCTTAGGTCCGACCTAATTTTTAGTTTTTATAAATGATGTAACCTTATGTATTAATGGTGATTGTAACATCAAGCTGTTTGCAAAAGCCTAGATGCTGTATCAAGCAAAGATAATGGAAACAACTCACCTCGTCAATGCATTTAAAAAAATTTCAGAATGATCAAATATTTTGCAACTTAATACAGCAACCAAAAAGTATTTTTATTTACACTATGGCAACAGTCTTTTACAATTAGATTTATACTCAATGAACAATGATACAGCTATTAAACCAATTAGATATATTCAAGATTTCGGTATAGTTGTGTCTTCGGATATAAAGTTTTCTAATCACCGTACTTTTATTGCAGGAGAGGCACATTCTGGTATTTACTTACTTTTGAAATCTTTTATCAGTAGCAACTCCTAACTTTTGATGAGCCTCCAAAGTTTATGTTTTACCAAATTAGAACCTCAGTGTCGAATCCCTATTTTTTTAAATATATGCATCTGATACAAAAGAAATTATTTGAATAGGATTGTCTGTAAAATATGTTGTATTTCTTAAAAAGATTATTCTTCAAGACTCGACACTTACAGCCTTGGTCCAGATGTGGGTAATCGCACTCTATTCCTGACCACACATATAATATTTAGTTGCGATTATTTGACCGCAGCTTTTTAGATGTTTTATGAACATTCAAACTTATGTATGTTTTTATGTATGTCCAAAAAATTAGACTTCAACATGCTAAAAAATTAACTTAATAACAATAATTTTTTGTAATCAAACGTTTTTATATTAGCAAAACGCTTATAAAACAAAGAGATGATTCATTTTAATTATTTACAAAAAGTTTATATAAAGTTGAGTAAGTTTAATTAAAAAGTATATAAAGTTTAGTAAATTATTTAACTTTTCATAAATTTTTTGAAAATCAATGAAAAGTTAAAATGAACCTTTTAAAACAATTTGTATGAACGGTTTTATAAAAACAAAACTTTTAACAACTGCTTTTTTGATGGAATTTAAAAAATATTAAATGTTAATTAACTTATTAAAATTAATAATCAAATAAACACACAAGAACTTTTAGGCAACTGAACACAAACTTATATGCATAGTGAGTCGGACATGTGGATGAAGACTGCTCCAGAGGTTCAAAAAAAAACAAAAACATGCATTTATATAAAGTGACTTATTGGTGAACCAGCATGGTACCAGATATCCATACAGAACAAACATACAGTTATACAGTATTAAAAAACCCACTCACTAAACATCATCAGCAGTATTGTGAAGCAGTTCCACTATCTCTTCATATATTATTTTTACCTTTTTAGTTTAATCATAAAAGTTTACTTTCAAATAATTTAATGTAATAAAAACTTTTAGTTTGCAAAATACAAAATAAAACTATAATTTACTTAAAATGTAATATGCCCTTTGTATAATAATTTATAATATATATTATAGTATAATAAACCAAAGGACTTTAGCAAAATATAAAGTTACTAAATATATACTTAGTATGCCAGTTTGGATACCGATCATTACAGACTGCTGATTCAGGGGTGTAGCGCATTGTTCAATTTTTTAAACATTTAAAAGACACTGCTAAAAAAAGATTGTTTAATATTTCTATAATAACATAACAGACAAATTTCTTATGTTTATTTTAATTGAGAAGAATTGTTTCAAATATTTTTGACTAATTTTCAAGCTACGCAGACCGTAGTTTATAAATAAGTTTAAAATAATTTTCACACGCAAATCTTGTAAAGATATGTGTGTGAAACAAATTATATAAATATTTTTATTTATTTTTCATTTTAACAAATAATTGGGATATTTTAGAGTATTGTTACGTACACCTGCTGTTTTAATATAATCAAACAGAGTACCACATACAGTGTTTAATTTTTCATTACAAGTTTTCATAATAAAAACACAAATAGCAGAAGGCATAACACACACAGTAAAACACTCATAATGCAACATTTATAATGCAAATCTATAGAACAACTTCGTTTTAGAATTATATCTAGAAAACTTTGTAGAATTAGTTCTTGATACTTTAACTCAGAATAAAACAATTGAACAAACCTTCCACCAGAAAAAGCTGAGCCATTAGCAGAACCAAATGATGAAAAAGCAATGAATAAAGGGATCAAAAATGCAAAGTGACCATATATTCTATCTGCTAAAGTCTAAGAGAAAGAACAAGATTAACACTAATAGTAACTAAGTATAAGACTAAATATAACTACAAGAAAACTAAAATAATAATAATAACATTACTTTTTAAGTAACAATTTAAAATTTCTCAACAAAACCTTTTTTATTTTATAAAAATCATTACCACAGCAACAGCATTTGAAGTTGCAATCTCTGCTGATGTGAGGACAGTGAGATAGGATATGTTTATTAAGACATAACACACGGCAACTAATGGAATTCCAATAAGGATAGCTAGTGGAAGATCATGATTAGGATTTCTTAACTCTTCTGTCACAAGGTTAAGATTATTCCAGCCATCATATGCCCACAAACCTCCATAAAATGCATATCCTAATTTTGACAAACTTACGTTTGATTCCTTGAAAGGATTTTTAAACTCATTGTTGTACCCTTAAAAAAAAAAGGTTTTTTTATTAAATTTTTTTGTGTGTGTATTATAAAGTTATTAATGAATAAAAATTAAATATAATGTAAATATTATTCAAATTTAACAAAAATAATCACAAAATTTAAAACAAAATTTTATAGGTTTTTTATTTGTGCATCATACCTAAACAGAGTAACAAGACATTTTACACTAACAATAACTAGTACAATTAATCGTAGTGTTTTCTTAAACTTTGTAAAACATATACTTTTACAAAATTCCTTGTAAACATAGTCAGGCTGCAAGTTATTGCAAATATATATATATATATATATATATATATATATATATATATATATATATATATATATATATATATATATATATATATATATATATATATATATATATTTATATAAATATAAATATATATATATATATATATATATATATATATATATATATATATATATATATATATATATATATATATATATATATATATATATATATATTGTAGGAATTGTGGTAATATTTCCAGTAAGAGTCCTCAATACAGTGTGTTATATAATTGGTAGAGCAAATATAGTGAAAACTAAATAACTATTAAAGCATACTTCAATTACATAACTAGTTTCATGCAATAGCAATCATAAAATGTAGCAGCAACAAAAAAGTACAGACAAAAATTTTATTTAAAAAATTCCAATCATCCACCAATCATTATTAAATCGATACCAAATATGATTTCTAATTGCATCAGTAATATACCTTCAAGCAAAGAAGCTTTTGATAGAGCCACACCATTTCATAATAACGCTCTTAATTCTTGTAAATTCAAAGATAAGATCAATTTCATTTCAAATATCCAAAATATAAAACAAAACCTTGAATAAGAAAATTATCTGGTTTAATCCACCTTATTCACTTAACATCAAAACAAACATAGCAAAAAAATTTTTGAGTACAATTGATCAATATTTTCCTTAAGGCCACAAAGTTTACAATTTTTATAACCAGAACAACTTAAAAGTTAGTTATAGTTGCTTTTAAAACATCAAGAGTATTATTATTTCTTATAAAAAAAAGACAGGGGTAATGATGCTGTAATTTTTTTGCTCAAAGCAAAACTTCTTTTCTTTCCAAAAATTTATATATATTGTAGTTTATTGTTATCCGGCTAATTGCCATACTGACATTCTTTCCAAAAAATTTATTTATTAACCTGAACTCAACTCATCTTTACAAAAAGCTTTACATCTATTTATATTAAATAACTATCCACAAAGATCATCATTACAAAAACAACTAAATTCTTAATTACAATTAAAATAATTAAAAACTACTAACAAGAGAAACCACATAATTGTGATAGAATGTTCCTGAACTTTGCATCAAACTTACAGACACGGGTTTTGAAATGTCAATTTGTGATCATCAATTTGTCCTTTATATCAAAATTTTTCTTAAAAAAAAAGATCTTATAGAAAAAAAGTGGGAGGGTTTGTGCCCCTTACCCCACCCCACCCCCCAACTCCTGGTGTCGTCGGCCCTGAAATATATTATTCAATTTCATGAAAATGCCAATTAATTATGTAATAGCTAAAAAATCAACTTGTGCTCACTCAATAAATATAAAAACTTATACGTTTATGAAAGTAAGACCAACTCTAATGAACTTGGGCAACTCCACTGAAACTGGGGGGAAAAAAGTACTACATTTAACTTATCACTATGCACAGAAGCTTAAAAATAGCAAACATTAGAGTGGTCCACTTTAAATTTTTTTTAAATTTAATCGGGGTATTTAGCAGTGATAACACTTGATTTAATA